ACAGTGTTTAGTCGTAGAATCGCTTGATACAATTAAAACGTCGCTGGCCAGTCGACTTTGCGTCTTATATAGTTATAAAAAATATCGTGTTTTTAAATCATGCGTGTACCTTACATCTGACGTTTACATATGAAGTAATTCAACTATTATTTAATAAAGGGCACACAGTGGTGGCATTACGCTTGATGGTTCCGTGTATCGTTTTCACGGTTACGACTCGAACTACCTCGTCCTCTCCAGGGTGCACGGCGGTGATCCGTCCCAGTTGCCATCTCATACAGGGTTGATTTTTGTCGATGAGAAYGACAATCATACCCTCCTCGAGTTGATACTGTGAATTGGTCCATTTCTGACGTTTCTGTAGTTCGCGCAAATATTCAATGTGCCATCGTCGCCAGAAATCCTGCCGCACCTTCGTGATGTGTTTCCATGAGGATAGCCGATTGGATGGAACATTCTCATAATTTTCCTCCGGTAGCATATAAAGTGGTTTTCCAACTAAAAAATGAGCAGGTGTTAGTGCTGTCGTATCGTTTGGATCTGATGAGATGGGGCACAACGGTCGCGAGTTCAAGATGGCTTCAATCTCGACAGCRAAGKTATTCAACTCTTCGTACGTGAATAAAGTTTCTCCTACAACTCGTTTGAAATGATGTTTGAACGATTTGACGGCAGCTTCCCATAGACCTCCGAATTGGGGTGAGAGTGGGGGTTTGAAATGCCACGATATTCTTTGGTCGGTCGCGAAATTGTGGATCTTCGTCCTATATTCGTCGGAATTGATTAAGGCATATAAATCCTTTAATTGATTGTTCGCCCCAACAAAGTTAGTRCCGTTATCTGAATACACGTGGGACGGAATGGCTCTTCTTCCCGTAAAACGCCGGAAGGYAGCGAGAAATGCGTCTGTTGACAAATCACTAACTAATTCGATATGCACRGCCTTTATGCACATGCAGACGAAGATGCACCCGTATATYTTAATGCGACCTTGGTTACGATATTTCTTCTCTTTCGCGTAGAGGGGACCGAAGAAATCTACTCCAGTATGTGAGAACGCGATGTTTTCTTGTACGCGA